GGCACTTTTTTCCGCGCGCTAATTTTTCACCATATGATGAAATCCAGATTTTCTGTCTGAAAAAAACTAATCCCAAAACCTTAACATGCGGCTGTGTGGAGTGCGTTTGGCGCCAGGAACGGATTCCCAACCCCGCGCGTTTGGGCAGACAGGAACCGACACTCCACTACCTCGCCAGGCGACATGTTCGCAGCCGCTGCGACGCCTGAGTAGTTTGAGCAGAAACAGCTCCTGCAGCTGACTAGCGTTATGTCGGGCCTATTCCCCTACAGGGGGATATTCGACGAACAATTTGGAGAGAAAAAAAAAATGCCCCCAAAATGTTAAACAAATACTCAAAACATAGTCCCCAGACTATGTTTGGACTACTTTTTGAATATTGTTGGTCTTTTTTGATTGTTCGTCGAAAACCCCTCTGCAGGGGGAAAGGCCCGACTTAAGATTAGCCGCCCGCGTGGGGCCAAGGCAAGCGCCCATTCGTGGCAGCGCGTGGGCGCAGTAGTTCAATCGATTATTCTAGGCTTAAGTTGGGCCTGTCCCCCTACAGGGGGACTGCAGGGGGACTTTCGACAACAAAAAAAAACAAAAAACAAAAAAAACAAGCGATCAAAACATAATCCAAAAATAGTATGGGAACTATTTTCTGAATATGCTTTGACCTTTTGGGGGCATGTTCGGAGTATGTTTTATCTTTCGTCGAAAATCCCCCTGTATGGGGGACACGCCCGACATAATGATAGGCCTGTTCAACATCGCCTATCCTCGCTTTGTTGGCGATGTGTTCCGGCACCGATGCGGAGCGTGCGAACGACTGGGGCGACGGCGCTGTCATCGCCGCCGCGCCAGCTAGGTTCGTCACGCAGGGCTTGCAGGGGTGGCGTCTGAATCTACAGCAAACAGCCACCGCTGCATGCATTTCTGGAGCGCCGGGCGCGCGCGCGTCAGTCGACACGGCTGGACAATGTTCAAGTTGTCACCCCCAACGATATATATATATATATATATATATATATATACACACATATGCTCCAGGTGGCTTGAGGAAAATGCCTACATGCTCCAGGGCCAGCTGCTTACGCCAACGCACGCGCCGAAGCTTGCAGGCCAGCTCAAATGGGGGCCACGGAGATCTTCGGGAAAAGCGCACCCGTCTATCTCGCGTTGCTTTTCAGGCACGTAGCGGGCAGAAGCAAGCTCTGAGCAATCACGCTTCAAAGCGTTTGTGCACCCCCCCCTGCGGTGGCAGCGGCACCTCAATTCACGGCCATGCAAGGCGGCACCGCTGTCGCCGCCTGGCAAGCTGCGCCTGCTTTTCTATCTAGACGCGACCGGTGCGGGCACGTTGACGCGGGTCGCCGCGCTTGCGGGACGAACAATGTCTGCCTCAGCGACGCCGCCAGGCTGGCTCAGGAAGTGGGTCTGCCCAAGGCAGCATCGGATCCACGCGGGGGAGCCGGCGGCGGCGGCGCGCGCGCTCTGGCGCTCCTTCGGAGAAGGAAAAAATGCGACGGGACGCGGTGTTGAAATTTCTACCAATGCCGCAGGTGGCGCTCGGAACATTGCTCCGCGGCTGCCCCCGCCAGCGAACTTGCAACGTAGCGGTGACAAGCACATGGTTCGCGACCGCGGCCCGCGGCCACTTCTTGAATGCTCTCCGTGCGCCGTCGCATTGGAATGCGGCGGATTGGTGCACTCGGGAGGAACAGAAAACTCTGGAGATGGCGTAACTTGTCGCTTCTGGCTTCGCCAGGGTGGATTGGAGCTGGCCGCCATGGAATTTTGGCAGGAGTGAGCGCGGGAAAAAAGTGCCCGAAAGAAAACAACAAGACAACCAACATAGTTGCATCTCTGATCTGCCACCTCCGTGTCTTCACAGTGGACCGTGCATATAGCGCGCGCTGTTCTTCCGTAGCCGGCGTGGCTCAGAATGGCATCTAATTCGCTGGCCGCAAGCGCACGAGATGGAAACAAAGCGTTGACGCTGCTGGCACCGCTGCCGCAAGTGAAGCGCCAAACCCAAGCGAGACCCGAGTGGCCAGGCCACCTGCTCTGATGGAAGGGTTCGCCTCCGTGCTCCGGCGCACGCCGCCGCAATCCCATCTGGGAGCCCTGGACGACGCCTTGGACGCTCTGACTGACGGCAGCGCCGTGGGCGGCGAGGACTTCTCCGACACGGGCGCGCAGGAACTTCGGGGTGCTTGCTCTCGTCTCAGGGGTCTGTCAAGCGAATTCCTGGTTACTCTGTGCACGCAGCGGCGCGCCGCTGCGCCGGCAGCTGTGGGCCAAGCAAGACGCTGTGGCGGCGCCGACGGCGCAGGGAAGCACCTTGCAGGCGAGACAGCCAACAAAAGAAGCAGGCTTGACGGCCCCCGGTTTTCTGGCCGTGGCCCGCCTGCGAAGCACAGTTTTCGACCCCAGCGAGTTGCAGACGCCGTGCAGGCGCTCGGCCGCGTAACGCCTGAGAAACTTCCGTTGGCTTGGGCGAGACGACACGGAAACGCCCCAGGCAACCCTGGAGAGCGGGCGGTACAGATGAAGGACAACATGTCTCAGTTCGACGCCACGCAAGAGCTGGTAAGGCGGGGGTTTGGAGGTTGGCGTACACGCGCGCACAAATACGTTTCCCCGGTGCGGTTGCGGGGACGGGTTGCCCAAAGCCTGGGACTGGCGCCGTGGTCGCCGACCGAGCCGGTGTGGGGCGCTTTCGCGTTCGCGGTACAGAACGGCACCACGCTGATGACGTACTGCGCCCAAGTCCGAACGGCGCTCACACTGCTCCCGGTGCTGCTGGGGTGCCTGGAGGACACGTCTGCCTTGGAGCGGGGATCCACGAAGATCTCGCTGTCCACCGGGGGACGATCTCGGGCACGGGCCACATCGCAGGCACCCGCAGCCTGGCGGCCCATATGCGGGACGTGCTAGTGGATCCCCTGGTGGCGGACTCCTTCGTGGTCGCGCGACACTTCTGCTTGCGCTTCGCTGCAGAGGGGGTGCCCTGGTACCGCGACGGGGAACACTCCAAGGTAGTGATGTCGGTCATTGAGGGTGACCCCAAAGTTTCTGTGTACCTCCACAAGCGGAAGCCTTTGCGCACTCCAGTCGCGGCAATTGTCCGTGGTGTGCGTCCTCCAGCGCCGTGCCAGACATGCTCCACTCTTCCCAGGCTTGTCCTACAGGGCGGCGTTGGCCACGCTGAAGGCAGCAGCGCTGCCACTAGGCCTGGAGCGCGCGGCGGAGTGGAACACGCATGTGTTCCGCAGAGACTGGGCGGACGAGTGCTTTCTCAGCGGGTGGCCTGCCAGCCTCTTCCACAGAGGAGGGTGGCGCAGCGTGGCCGCGTTCGGCTATGCCTCGGCAGCGTCCACGGACGCCGCGACCGCTGTCGAATGGGCTGTCGATTTTTCAAAATATTTTGCGTCCGACGGCGCGCCTTGAGCACTGGAAAAATGAACGTGGCGGCAGGGTATGTGTGCGTGTGCATGTTTGTGCGCTTGTGCAAACAGCACGTGCTTTGTACTCGCCGCGAGGTCCACGCAACCAGTGATGGTTCCGGGAGCTTCGGGACTCGATGGTGGCTTCTGGGGTCGCCGTCGTCGTCGTCGTCGTCGTCGTCGCCATCGTTGTCCGCGGGGTGGAGTTTCGCCACCGCCGGAAAGTGGACGCCACCTCTGTGCTCTCGTCGTCAGCAGTGGGGTTTGGGCCCAGGTCGCCGAGAACCCCAGCATTGGGTCTTGAGAGCTTCTCGGGGGTCCCTCGGGCTTCCGCGTCCGGTCGCACGCTGTGTGTTGCCCGAAGGTCCGTGAAAGCACACTGGACGACCCCATGGAGAGCGGCCAGGCAAGAATATTCACCGCAGTCGTAGGCTCCGTTACCGCTGTCACCCTTGAAGTCGCAACCCTGGCAATTTGTTCCACAAAGTACTTCCTCCTCCTCCTCCTCCTCAACATCATTATCACCACCATCAACATTGTGATTAGCATCATTCACAATACAAACATCGTAATCATCACCACCATCATAATCGTCATCGTCATCATCATAAGCATCATCACCATCATCATCATCAGCGTTATCAGCATCGTCGTCGTCATCATCATCATCATCAGCATCATCATCAGCATGATCACCATCAGCATCACCAATCATCCGAACCATTATAATCGCCATCAACATCACCATAATCGATACCGTCCACATCATCAACATCATCATCGTCATCATCGTCATTACCATCATCATCAACATGATTACCATCATCATCGTCATCATCATTACCATCATCATCAACAGCATCATCGTCATCAACATCGCCGTCGTCATCGTCACTAGAATCAAAGTCATCAAAGTCACCAACATCACCACCGTCATCATCAGCATCATCATCATCGTCATGATCAATGTCGTCTTCATCGTCGTCACCATCATCATCACCATCATTATCAGCATCATCAACATCGTCATCATCATCACCACCATCATCATCATCATCACCATCGACATCGGCATCGGCATCGACACCAGCATCAGCATTAGCATCATCAGCATCAGCATCACCGTCATCAGCATCAGCATCAGCAGCATCATCATCATTGTGGTGATCGGCATCGGCATCGTCATCATCATCATCGACGCACCGTGGTTCTCGTCGACATCATCATATCGTCGTCACAGGCACCGTATCGTCTCCACCTGCAGTGCCATCACCATCGGCATCAGCTTCGGCACCACTGTCATCCCCATCGTCGGTGGCGTCGGGCCCGTCGCCAGTCCCACCAACACTCCGCGGCCTTGAAGACGGACTCGTCCGCGCGGTGAGCTCCGTGCGCACGTGCGCTCGTTGACATCATGGCCATGTGAGCTATGCCAACAGGTTGAGTGTGGGCGAGTGGGATGTCCAGGGTAATGTTTTAATACATTGGATGTTTCAAGAGATAGGATCTTTAATCCATGATGAATGTATGATTAAATGTATGCATGAACTCCTCGTTGTTTTTGAGACTGAACCCCTGCATTTGTAATGCATGATCCGCACGCGGAGCATGTATTAAAAACGGTACTGTCTGCATGAGCATGAATATGTGGTCACGCGCGGATGTTGCGCGGCGGGTGAACTGCACTATCGCGTGCAAGAACCCACCCTTCGGGGCCCACGCTGACAAACAGTTGCAATTGGAGGGAAGGATGGCCATCTGCACGAGGAAGTGGAGGGGGGGGGGAGAAAGAAAGGACGCTTCCGCGTCGGCCTCGTATCCTTTCCCACCTCGCCCTGCTCGCATTCATTATGCGCACAGACGGCTTACGGATGCGATCCACCCAACGTTGTGCTTAAACTTCCGCGTGACAAGCGGAGCACGAGTGGGCTCAAATTTCCAGGGCTTCGCTCTGCCAGCAGTGCCTCGCGCCCTTCATCTCCCGACCTAGTCCTGCCTCGCCCCCGCTGCCCGCTACCCACCCTGCCTTCACGGTGCAAACACACCGTTCAGACAGAGACGCGCACCGTTCCAGCGAGACTCTCTCTCCCGCAGGTTGACAGCAGACGAGCATCCAGATCCCCTGAAAGCTCGTGACTGCAAACTGCAACTCGCGCTTGCAGCACTGACCAAATGACGAGGCTTGCAAATGTACAATCTGCAAATCAAAAAAGGAGCACCGGAAAAGGGCTGGACAGGGCCAACTGGGAATCGAGAGAAGGATGGCAAGGGGGATGGCGGCGAGGACGAGACTAGGGACGGGGACGAGACAGGAGTAGGCCTAGGCAGTGGGGACGAGGAAGGACGCAGGAGGGAAAAGGAGAAGGAGGGAGAGATCATGCGGGAGGCTGGGGGAGGAAAAGCAAAAGGCGGAGAAGGGGGGAATAAGGTTGAGGGGGGAAACAGAGAAGGGAGGAAAGGACCATTGAAAGGAGAGGGGGCAGAGAGACTAAGGGACATGGGGAAAGAGCAAAGAAAGAACCGCGAATTTGTCAACGGAGTGCTCCTCCTTTTGCAGCCAAGCCGTGATATCCAAAACGGTCAGTGCCGTAGCTGTACTGTAAGCAGCAATCGAACGAGGACCAGAAGAACCGCGGAACACGGATGATGATGATGATGATGATGATGATGATGATGATGATGATGATGATGATGATGATGATGATGATGATGATGATGATGATGATGATGACGATGGTGATGGTGATGGTGACACAGAGCTCCTCGAAGGCCCGCACGGCTCGGGGCTCCGTAGACGGGGGTTTCGCTAAACGGGGGCTTGGGCTGTTCCGTACGCCCCCGTTTACGGTGCCCCCGCCTGCGGCGCCCGGGGGCCCCCTCAACGGGGGCATAGCCAAACGTGGAAATCGGCGTTCCCCCCCAATACGCTCTGGAGCGGCCGCGGCGCCCAACACATCCTCCAAACCCGCTGATTCTCAGAGATTTCGAGTTATCCCGATCCGATTTTGTCCCGATCCTCGCGTCGTTTGAAAACGGCGGCATAGCCAAACGTGGAAATCGGCGTTCCCCATGCCCCCGTGTCTGGCGCCCCGAGCGGACCTCCCGCTGTCGGCTCCCGGGCCCTGCCTCTGGGCGCGGAGAGCGCACCAGGGGCGACACGGCACGGCGCCGGCGAGGAGTGTCTGGAAATCCGCGCGGAGGCGCCCCCTACGGTGCAGAGGTCCGTGGCGGAAGGGGGGGGCGAGGGGGGGGGAGGCGCCCATACGGCGCAGAAATCTGTGTCTTATTCGGCGTTTCGACACTGGGCGGAAGGGGGGGGGCGGTGGCCTGGCTCCGGACGACTGCTTCCAGTCGGACTTGCCTGGAGAGGGCACGCCAGAAGACGCCAGGCCCTTCCGAGGGCCACACTGCCGCAGGAATGCGAGGAACCCATGGGTCGCGAGGCATGGGACACGAGGGTACCTCTGATCTGGCAGGGTCGACCTACGAATCAGGCCCGACTGCAGCGCAACTATTTGCAACAGGCGCCACAAACAACCAAGATCTGATTCATGGGAGGCAGAGGGGGGGGGGCCGAGTGGCCGCGCCGATCGACAAAACCATGGGTAAGAAAGCGATCTCGTGCGGTCCTCTGAGATGCTGTGTTTGCGCGGCTTTCTGGCCTCCTGCTTGATGCTCACCCGCCGAACCACTGGCATTTGTACAACACAATACAGGACTCAACCTTCCTCACCGCCGCACCTCGGGCGCGCGCCAGGGCGAGAGGAGGGCGCCAGGGTGGGAGAGCTCTGGAGGGCGGCCCTCTGCAAGAGAGCCGCGCTGGCGGGACGAAGCCACGAACAGGGAAGCTGGGGAAAAAATAGGACTTGGAGAATCAGTGAGAGTGGAAGTGGCCAGGGCTGGAAACACTGGCAGGGGGTGAAGCGAGCCCGAAACAGCAGCGATGTCGTCGGCAGGGCTTGAAACACAAGGGGAACCTGGCCGGGGCCTGCAAGAGTGGAAGGGCTGGCCCCAGGGCCTGGAAGAGTGGAAGGGCTTGCGAGAGTGGAAGGGCTTGAGAGAGTGGAAGGGCTTTCCAGCTTCCACGTGCTGATGCCGCCGACATCATCCTCGTGTCCCCCCGCCCTCGGCCCCCCTCTCCCAATCAGCCTCGAACTCATCCATCTCTCCAAGACCGGCAAGTCCAAGGCAATCTCAATCTCGGGGAATCCTTGAGATCTCAATCTCAATCTCAATCTCAATCAAGGTAATCTCAATCTCAATCTCGGGGATGTGCCTCCGAAGCTGAGGCAATCCTTGAGATCGGCACCAGGGGTGAGGTGATGCCAGCATAGGGGTGGGGACATGTTTCAAGATGGTAGCCCCATCATGCGCCTCACCCTCTTGCTTGGACTCCGCCGTGCTTCTCGTCCTTCTCGTCCTCCTCGTCATCGTCCTCATCCTCCTGGCGCGGCGAGAGAGCCCGTGCACCGCCCACACGCCCCCTGACCCAATCCCCGAACGCGGAGAACCGGCAGGCGACCGCTCGGCTTGCTTCCTCTCCCTCCTCCGACCCCTTCACGTCAGCCTCATCCTGCCCATGTGCCATTGCCTCCACCGCCTCCCGCTCCTCTGTTCCTCCGCGTGGGTACCGTCCCCATCGCCGTTGTCGTCCTCCTCGTCGCGGACGTCGTCATCCTCATCGGCAGCGTCGTCCTCCTCCACCACCTCTTCCACCTCCTTCTCCTCCTCCTCCTCCTCCTCCAACTCCTCCTGCTCCCTCCCTCCTCCCTCCTACTTCTCGCCCGCCCCCACTCCTCCATCCGCTTCCTCCCCCCCCTTTCCCTCCTCGGTGCTCCTCGCCGGCCCTCCCCCTCCCTCATGCCGCGTCATTCCCTCTCCTTCCCTCTCCCCTCTTGCTCCGCCCTTCCCTCTCCCTCCCTCCCAACGTACGGGACCTCCACAGGCGGCAGAAACAACACTCAAGCACTTCGGTCCCCGAATATCCTGAGGCAACTCATGGGAGGTTCACATGCTATCTTGTTGGCTCTCCCGAATCGGTGCTAGGCGACGCTAGATCGCGCTGAATTGGCACTTTCTCATCGATTACCGGAGGTTGGCGCACGCTAGTGCACTCGAAAGGCGGAGTTGCGAGGACACACGGAGCCACCATGATTCGCCACCGAACAACAATCAAAAACCTCGATCCTCGAACCTGCCTGACCCTCCTCGCCCTCCCCTCCCCGACAGCCCTCTGCTGCCCGCCCCCATCCCAAGCCCTGGCGGCCGCGCCGCCTCCAAAATCTCGACCCCCACCCGCAGCGTGCCGCTTGGCGAGTCGACCTGGCTGCTCCCCCGGGTGGGGTGAGGCGGGGGGGGGGAGAGGAGGAGGAGGAGGAGGAGGAGGAGGAGGAGGAGGAGGAGGAGGAGGAGGAGGAGGAGGAGGAGGAGGAGGAGGAGGAGGAGGAGGAGGAGGAGGAGGAGGAGGAGGAGGAGGAGGGGGAGGAGGAGGAGGAGGAGGAGGGAGGAGGAGAGGAGGAGGAGGAGGAGGAGGAGGAGGAGGAGGAGCGAGGGGCAAGGGTGCAGGGGAGGGCCCTCGCGTCTTGCAGGCCTGCGGGGGCCTCCAGAAACCTACGGAGACCACCCGCGGGAAGGACGGGGGGGAGGAGGGGGGGAGGGGGGAGGGAGGAAAGGGAAGATGGATGTCGCCCTCATGACACACATGTTTGGTCCTTTGGGCTTGGAAAGAACCGCGACAACCACCGTCACCGCCCTCCCGACAGCCCCCCCTCGTAACAGTAACGTACGTCACGAGTAGTGCTAGCGCCGTTTGGGAATGCCCAAGAAACAACCATAAGAACAACTCAACCATAACATATATATATGCATGTATGTATAAGGATGTGCTGCGGCAGAACGTGCGATACGCCATGGATATGTAAGGTCCCGCGATGGGAAACTGCGGATCGCTAAGCGCAACGTGGGGCTGCCGCGGATAGGATATGTAGCTGTTGAATCCTTTCCCTTCCTTGTTCTCCTCCTCTTCCTCCTCCTCCTCCTATCCCTCCTGCTCCTCTAGTCGTCCTCGTCTTCCCAGTTGCGTTGCATGGTGCTTCACACTAAGAGAGACGACTGAGGCGGGGAATCGTAAGGAATAAGGGAGAGAGGCAACCAGGAACTGGCCGAAACGACTTGTTTGATGACGCGTATGTGATCGACTCGTGCTCTGGGAGGGTTCTGGGCCCCCTGGGCCTGACGGGGGAACTGGCCTCGTCGTCGTCGTCGTCCTCGCCTTCCTTTTCCTTCTGCTCTCCATCTTGTCGCCCAGCTCTTCCTCATGCCGCAATGTGCCCCGTTGCGCGACAACGTGCGCACCACATCGCCGGGCCGCACGGAAGGCGTGCGGCATGGGGGAACCCCATGAGCTACTCGCGCGCAGCTGCCCAATCAAGCTTACCAGCAGCGCACTGCACCTTTCTTCCCAACCTTCCTGGTTTGGGTTCTCCTTTTGAATAGAGAGCGCTGCGGTCTCCACCGTCTTCCGCCTCCGTCCTCATTCCCTCCCTCCTCTCCTCCACGCCGCCAGCCCTCTTCTCCTGCATTCCTTCCCCTCCTGTCTTCTGCCTGGCTTGCGCCTGCTTTCCAACTGGCCTCTTACCTCACCTGGCTTATACCTCTCGGTGTTATTCGGCTACCCCTCGCCATACCTGGGGGGGGGGGGGGGGGGGGGGCGATCTGCGAAACTGTCGCCACTGTCGAAGGCCGCTTGGGGGTGTCCAGCGGAGGGGCGCAGTACGCAGATTCAGACTCGACCTCGCCATCCCTGGGGGGCTGCGAACTGCAAAAGTGCCGACCCTGTCGAGGACTGTTGGGGGGCCTAGCGGAGTGACGCCTTACGCAAATTCAGATTCAGACCCCGCCATTTGCGAAACAATCTGCACTTTCTGGATTTTTTTCGAGGTCAAGGGGAGTGACGCTCTGCGCAGATCCAGACTAAACCTCGCCATCCTTCGGGGGGGGCTGCGAAGTGCGAAACTGCCGCGACTTTCGAGGGCTGCAGGGGGGCCCAGCGGAGTGTCGTCTTATGTACATACACTTACGTACATACAGATAAGACCTCGCCATCCCTGGGGGGGGGGGGCGGCGGCGAACTGCGAAACGGTTGCCATCTCCGAGGGCTGCTGGGGCGTCTAGAGGAGTGACGCTTGACGCAAATTCATGTTACACCTCGCTGTCCCCGGGGAAGGGGGCGGCGAACTGCGAAACGGTTGCCAATGTCGAGGGCTGCTGGTGTGTCCAACGTGAAGACGCTTTGGGCGGGTTCAGAATCGATCTCGCCATCCCTGGGGTGCTGCTATCTGCTAACAAATCGGCACTCTCGGGGACTGCTGGACATCCAGCGGAGTGGCGCCTTGAGCAGATTCAGACTAAACCTCGCCAACCTCGGGGAAGCCTGCGGACTGCGAAACGGTTGCCATTTCCCAAGGCAGCCGGGGGGCCCAGCGGGGGCCCAGCGGGGTGGCGTCTCACGCACATCCGGATTCGACCTCGCCACCCCTGGGGAGCTGCGATCTACGGAACCGTCGCGCGTTCGAGGGCTGTTGGGGGGTCCAGCGGGGCGACGCCTTACGCAGATCGAGGCTTGGCCTCGCCATCCCTGGGGAGGGGGAAGGGGGGGCGGAGGGGGAACTGCGAAACTTCGCACTTTCGAAGGCTGCTGAAGGTCCAGCGGGGCGCGGCGCCTTACGCAGGTCGAGATTCGACCTCGCCATTGGGTGCGATTCCAAAGATTTAACATGTTCGAGGGCTGCTGGGTGGGGGGGTCCACATGTTCGATGGCTGCTGGGGGGGGGGTCCACCGGGGCGACGCCCTGCGCAGGTATAGGCTGGACTCCGCCATCTCCTGGGAGGCTTAAATTTGCAAATTGTCGCCACGTTCGGGGGTTGCTGCGGGGTCCCGCGGGGTGACATCATGCGCAAACTGAGAATGGACCTCGCCGTGGCTGCGCGGGGTCTGCGAAGTGCGGGTCGGCGGCCACGTTCATGGGCGGCTGGTGGGCCCAGCTGCGCAACGCCCTGTGCATATCCAGATTCGACCTCGCCATCCTTTGCGGGGGCTGTGACCTGCGAGGCGGTTGCCATTTTCGAAGGCTGTTGGGTGGTCCAGCGGGGTGGCGCCTTACGCAACTTGAAAATTAGACCCCGCCATCCCTGGGGGGGGGAATCTGCGAAAGTGCAGCCGCGTCCAAGGGCTGCTGGGAAACCAGCTCAGCGCCGTCCTACGCAGAGCCAAACTGACTCTCACCACCCATGTGGAAAGCAGACCTCAAACCTGTCGCCACGTTTGAAGACTGCTGGGGCGGGGGGGGGTCCAGCGGGGAGACGCCTTACGCGGATCCAGATCAGACCTCGCCATGCCTCGGGGGCTGCGATTGCGAAGTTGATGCTATTTCCGAATGCTGCCAGGGGTCCAGCGAAGCGACGTCCTGGTGGGGGGGAGGGGGCGATGTGCGAAACTGGCGTAGTTTCAGGGGCCCCTGGCGGGTCCAAACTGCGAGACTGTCGCCACTTTCGAGTGCCGTTCGGGTGTCCAGCGCATTCGCGTCCTGTGCACATTCAGTCTTAACCTCGCCATCCCTGCGCGGCAGCGATCCGCGAAACTGCCGCCACTTTCAAGGGCTGCTGGGGTCCAGCGGAATGTCGCCCCACGGCGGATTCAGATTAGACCTCGCCGCCCCTGGGGCGCAGCGAACAGTTGCAGCGGCTGGGGGGCCCAGCGGGATGGCGTCGCTCGCGGCTTCACAGGACGCCTGTTCCTCCCTCGGGGCCTGCGATCTGCGAGCCAACGGCCATTCCCGAGGGTTGCTGGGTGGTCCAGCGGCATGGCGTCCTGCGCGTGCCCACGTTCGAGTTGGTTTCGTGCCCCGCGGGCCGCCCGAAGATCTGGCGGCGCGCCTGCGGGCGTTTAAAGTCTAGCCGTCTAAACCAGGCGCTGCAAGGTGCAAAAACTTGGACACCCGAAATGGGCACGGAAACAATGAGCACACTGCCCAACAACAAATGTTGCCCCAAACCAAGAGCGGCCGCTGTTGGGCAGGCGGCCTGACTCAAATGGACACAGGCCGCGGCGACACCGACATCGAGTCCTGTTCAGAATGAGCAGGAACTGCTGTTGGGCGTTGTACCCATCCTTTCCGTACCCATTCCGGGCGTCCAAACAACAAGAAACTCGGCTGTCGCTTGCTTGTGACACTGGCAACGAGCAGCTGGCGCTGTAGAACTCCAAAGAGACTTGGCGCGGGCCGCGCTGCTTGTAAGACGTGCCGCTGGAGGAGGGTTGCCAGCTTCCTTCCTGGCCCTGCCTGCTCCGTTGCCGTCCTGTTCCCCCTTTCCGCCGCGCCACTACTGCTGTCGCTGGAACGACTCGCCCCCCCGTCCGCCCTTTTCCTGCCCCTCATTCCACGCCCCCCTTTTAATTTCTTCAGGCCGGAGGGATATGTCCTCGTCCTTTTGTTGCTATCCTGTGAGTCGTGCAGCTCGCGCGCGCAATGTATTTAACGCAACAAATTGCACTCGTCGCGCTGTCGCTGACCACCAATGGGCTGGGCATGTCGGCGGGTAGTTTCTGGAGCAATCCTGGGGGCTGGACATGCGCGCGGGAAACACGAGGCGCGGCCTGTTGAAGCTGGTGGCTGGCAGCGCGCAGGGATGGCGGGCGCGCGCAGCCACGCGAAGGCCGAGACTTGGAAAGACACGCGGCGGCATGTGCATCCAGCTTTCGCCTACAAAGGCCACGTCAACTGCGCCAGCTTCCTGGCAACGCGAGCAATTGAAATTTACCTTTCTATGCCCAAGCGATGCCGGGGCAAAACGCAATGATATTTTGCCGTTCCTCCTGCCTCACCCCCTCCTTGGCGGCGCCCGTCATCGCCCGGGATACAAAGAAAACGCTCTCCGCGCGGGGGGCCGCATGGGGGGGGGGGGGGGGCGACTCGGGGAGGAAATATCGACCTGGAATCGGCGATGCATCGCCGATGCATCAGCAGTGCGCCGCAGATCGCGAGCCCGTCCGCTCCTGGGCAAGGTGGGCTACCAGGCCCCTATCGGCGATCAGTGGTCGATTGGGGATCGATGCGCCCCCCCCATCGGACGTTGTCGCATTCTGCGGCAATTCATGGGGGCCCCCTGCACCATCTTGCTCGCTCTTGCGAATCGACGCAAACAGATGCTAGACGACGCTAGCTCGTCGACTTCCGAACGCCAATCAGGCCGCGCGCACCAAGGACGGAGTTGCGTGGGCATGCGTGCAAGGCGCCGGCGACTTGCAGCCGGACTCATCCCCCCTCCTCTGCTGCGCTGACGCTTTGCTCTGGAATCAGCGCGGGCGGATCGCACGCGGGGCGGGTCGCTCATTGGGATCGGACCCGCGGGCCGCGAGGTCGTTCGCGCGCGGGTCGCGGGGCGGGCGGGCGCGCGCCGTCCGTTCTCATGGGGCCCGCGCCTGCGCGCACACTTCAAGGCACCCCATTCGCGATGGATCCCCCGAGGCGATCGACCAGTTTTTTCGACGGCCCAACGGGGCCACAAATCCGGCACAATCCCTCGCGCTCTGAGTGCCCCAAAGGACGTGCCAGAGGAGCTGGGCTGGCCCGCCCCGAGGGCTCTTGCGAGCCTCGCATCGGCGCGCCCCCCGCGCATTTCGTCGCCGACTTCCAGAGGCGCTGTTCTGGACCCCATGAACGCCGAAGGGGGTCTTAGGCGCCCCCCAGCATGCGCGCCGTGCGCCGCGGGCCCCCAACGGGCCGTCGGGGCGCTTCCGAGACCGACTGATCCTCGCAAGAAATCGCCGCGACTACCCCCCCCTCCGGAAAAAATCAACAATGGCCTCGTCGAGGCCGTGCTCCCGGACGCCAATTGACTGCAGGAACTGCGTGCCCGCCCCCATTCGGGGGCCCGCCGCGACCCCCGCTTCGCGGGCTCGCTTCGGCGGCCTGAGGCGCGCCAGGCGTTGCAGGCGCGCGGGGCGTGGAGAAGGAATCCGACATTGCGTGCGACGTGCATGCCAGGGGGCAGTCCGCGCGTTCTGCAGGGCATGCGTATGCTCATTTTCGTTGGGCGCGTAAAATCACGCTGGATTCGCACCCCCGGGGCCCCCGGGGTCTCCTGGAAATCGCCTCGGCGCGCCTCTCGCGCGTGACGTGTCATGTGCGGCCGGGCGGTCACCAGCTGGCTTCTCGAGACGGCGCGACGGCAGCCCTGGTCGACGCGCGCGTCGCGAATTTCGGGCCCTGCGGACCCAGACGGGCCCCCAACAGACACCCGGGGCGCCCTTGCAGCGGCCCGGGCCGACAGCGCTCGTGGAGGCCGGCCGTTTGGCGGCGCCCGACGGAGCGGCGCCCGGGCGAAATCGCCCCTCGCCGCGTCGGTCGCGAGAATAGTTCGCGACGCTCCTTGCAAGCCCCCGCCGTCCCCCGCCTTCGGTCCGCCGCATCCGCCGCGAACGCGCAGCTACTCGCGCGCGCGGGCGCCGTCCCCCGCAAGCCGCCCCTCGGGCGGCCCCGCCGCCAGCACGGGCGCCCGGCGCCGCCGCCTCCCGGCGCTCCCAGGCGAGAGCCCCCATGGGGGCCCAGAATGGTGGAGGCCTGCAGGGCAGCCCAGCCGCGGGCGGAGCCCACGTTCCAGCCGACGGCCGCCCAGCGTCAAAACGCCGCGCGCGCCCGCGACGCCCGGGGCCCCGGCCCCGAGGACGTCGGGCGCGCGACGAGCAGAACGGAAGCGAGACGAGCAGCGCCGAGAACTGCGCGCGCAGAGGGATCGCGGCTTGCAGAGCAAGTCGCCGCGAGGTGACTTGAATCAGCACGGCGTAGAATAATGCGATCGAGACGGGCAACGTCGCATGGCGGCAGCGAGCGGCGGCAGAAGATTCGGCGTGGCTGGGCCCGACTTGCCGACGATGAGCCTTGCAATGGATGTCGGCGCAAAGCGCGACCACCCCCGCGGCGCTCGTGTTCCCACGACGCAGCAGATTGCATCCGCGGAGACCGTCGCCATTGGTCGCGACGTCGTCTTCGCTCGTGAGCCCCCGACGCCTGGGTCGCCGCGCAGGTCTGCGGATCCATCGGGGCCAATGGTCGGATGGGTGATCTTCTCGGGCCCTCGCAACAGTTTGCCGGGGCGCTCGAGCGCTTCGCCCGCGCAATCTTCAGTTCCTGGGCGCGCTGCAAATAGGCGCCATCCAGACATTCGGAACCTGGGCAAGCGCGGGGCGCGCATGGGCCCGTCGCAGGTTGGCGAGCACGCACCCGGCGATACTACAGCCGTCTGTCCCGGGAGAGGCGCCTGCAAGATCGAGATGTGTAACAGGGTGTAAAAATGCAACGCGCTCGCCCTGGTCCAAGATGGCGCCCCCTGCTTCCCCGCCGCGGCGCATCTCGCGGCGCGAATCTCGCGCGCGCTGATTTCAAATGCGCGTGCCACATGCCTGCTCAATCTGTCGGACGCAGTCGTCTACGCGGGGCCCTACGCCGCGCGGGCTGGCGTCGCCCGAACGCGCGGCCGCGGGCGTGTCATTCGCGGCCTAGTCTTCCAGTCGCAGGGCGCGGTCTCGCGGTCGATGCTCTCCGCGGTTCGCTCCAGAATCGAGGGAGGTGGTTCGAAGGGCATCGCGGTTACCAGCGCCAAGCTAGAATGATTCTAGAGGGCATCGCGGCTCGTCGCAGCCCCCGAAGCCTGGTAGAGCACCGGGGACAAAATCGCTGCCAGGACGTAGCGATACTAGCAATGCGCTCATGTTCACCTGAAGCTTCGGCCAGCTCTCTGATTGCGGGGACTTTGAGATGCGCGGGGAGACTGGCCCAAACCCAACTGTGGTCACGCGCTGCCTCTTCTGCCAACGAGCGCTGGGAAGGGCGTCGCGCCGCCCCGGAAAATATGTCCACGGGGAAAAACTTCCAGGCCCACAAACCCACGCAGTGCGGGGGGAAGTCGTACATCTTGGTGCACATCATTTGCACGCGCGCCTGAATCTTGAATATGCACTTGCGACCTGAACCGGTCTGAACGAATTGCCACGTCTACATATGCCTCGAGGCGACAGCGTTCTGGGCCTCGGAGAAAAAATCCTCGGCGAAACATCCGCTGTCCCTGTGAAACTGGCCTTGGCCAAACATGCTGATGATACTCTCTTCGGGCTGTTGGCGAGGCCTCGCTTGGTCAGCAGATCGTCCTCTTTGGCCGCCACCGCTCGTTTGCCTTCGGCTGGCGCGGGGCGCAGATAGCAGCTGGCCGCAAAGGCTCGCCCGCGATTACTTACCGTTCCTCACGAACACAATTCAACGTTTCTGCCGTGCTCGCAGGAGTCATGGTCATACTGGTCGTGCGAATTATCATTGCCCGACACGTCGGTGGCCATCACGGGGTCGCCAACACCTTGGCAAGAAAACGGGACGCCAGTTCGTTCAAACACACGTCCGTGCATGAGGTCGTATTCGATGATCGGGCGCTCATGCTCACAAGAAACGAAGGCAAAACTTGCGCGCGCAATTGGGGTTAATACCGGGTCGAGACTCTGACAACTGTTCAGAGAGGTACATACATACTTCTACGCGCAGGTGTCCAGTATCCATGACATCATGGCACCAGTCACGCATGATCATGATGTCCCCTCTTGTATATCATCGCCCTCGACGGCGGACCCCACGTTCGGTGTCCATTAAAACCGCAGGGAGTTCCGCAGTCCCGCGGTCATCATCATCTTGCAATCCATCATCCATGGTTGGAAACCGAGTGAGGGCCTCGTGCCTCGTCGGGAAAAAGAAAAAAACAAAAACAAAAACAAAAAAACGGACGGCTTAGTTGCAATAGGGCTCTGCTTGGGGCGAGCATGACTGCTGCCAACCATGTCACAGATGCTGAACGGCACTAGCGGACTCGTAGAAGAACAAAAACGGCCAGACATCACTGGCGTGGTAGATCCATGTAGATCAGCCGCTTCTCTGATGGGTCGCCGATGGGCGCGTTTAGCCAGCCGTTCGGCAATAACGCTGTTCATCCTGGATCGAATCCTGGCGACACGTTGGAACGCGATATGTACCTTGGGGGGCAGATTTGCTGCCCAAAGATAATCGACATTCCTCCGTGTGGTCGGCGATGTAACCACAACTGATGGGGGCATTTCCCGCAATAAGGGCTGCACTATAGAATATGATGAGTATTATGGCCACGTTGTCCATGCCAAATTCCTTGACCATGAGCACCTCGACGAATCGCATCAAACTAGCATCCGGGAACTGAGCCACGATATGTCTAGTCCCGAATTTGCGTGCAACTTGTCTCCGGTCACGTTGACTTCGGCGACAATGCAAAAACCCACCCACCCACCGTTGTCATCCTTACGCGGCGGTCCTCCGAGGGCCTTTTCGTCCGCTGTTGGGGCCGCCTTGGAGCACTCGGAGGCAGTATTAGACGCCTGAGGCTCAACCTGGCCTCATCCTTGATCCACCAGGACACCCATGCCCTGCAGGGCTTCCCGGGCGGGAGCCCGTGGGCCTCATCCCCTTGGCTCTGTATGTGTATATATAGACATACATATACGTATTTGCACACATCTGTGCATCTATACATATATATATACACATCAGAACACATGCATACATCACTATTCCTATGCGTACGCATGTACATAATCTGCACGTCATCTAAAGTATTCATGTTATCCCTCGAACGTTCTCCCCCTCAATCCTTCCCCCGCGGAGCGATCCCGCCTGCTCCCTCCAGTCCACGCCGAAATCGTCCGGGCCGTGCACAGCCTGCTTCGAGAAGTCGTACCTGCGACGGCGGCATGTCCAACGCCGTCGTCGGAGGAAGCCAATGGGGAGGAGGAGGGAGAAAGGAAAAAAAGGGAGGATGACGATGAAGGAGGCTGATAGACGAAGAATCGAAGGACAAGGACTATGTACATATATGTGTATATATATATAAATGAAATTTATCAACACACACATATATATATATATATATATATATATATATATATATCTGTATTGTGCCAAAAGGGAGCGAGGAGGAGGATCGGAAACATGAGGACAACGGAGGATGAACAGGGGATGAGGCTTTGGGTGGAATCAAGAAGGGTCGACGGTTGTGGGAGATTCGAGCCGTTCGTTCGATTGTCGGATGAGTGATCAGATTAGGCGGGTCTGGACGAGCGGAGATGATCTACTGAATTCCCTCGTCGAAGCGACGTGGCGCTGGAGGATGCACCCGTCTGCTGAAACAGCTCGGCAGGAGAGGTCAAGGCAAATCCCTCCTCCCAGCTATTAGGTCGGGCATGTCTCCCTACAGGCGGATTTTGGATGAAAAATACAAAAAAAAAAAACATACACCAAAACATACCCAAACGTGATAACACATCGTCCCCAAAATATGTTTGGACTATTTTTGGATATTCCTCCTGTAGAGGGACAGGCCCTACTTAATCCTGCCGCCCCTCGGCGCTGCGCGCGGAGGCGCACGTGAAGGGTCCCGTCCTCGAGGGGCCCACACACAGGAAGAAGGTCATCACCGTGGCTCCCTGCAGGCAGTCGGCCTCTTGCGGCGCGATGGGCACTTCCAGGGCAAGGGGCGGAGGAGGAGGAGGAGAAAAAGGGGAACGCAGGAGGGGAAGCGAGGAGAGGAGACTGTGGTGAGGGGGGAGCGGACGAAAGGATGGACAAGTGAGGAGGGAGGCGTGAGGGAGGTGGTGCAGGAGAGGGAGGAGGGAGGGGTGGGAGGAGATTGGGGAGGACGGGAAGGAGGACTGTAATGGACAAAACGTGTGATCAGAATCAGAAACTTGCAATAAGGAGACAAGAAGACGCCGAAGAGCTCAGCAAAGAACGAACCGTGTCTGTTGTTTTGAAACGTGCCGTTGAGGCCAATGACATTCGACCCGGCCCCATCCTGCACAATCGTCATTAACGATCTCGCCCCGCCTCCTCCCTTCTCCGTCCACCTGCTCGTCCTCCTCCCCCTCCTCCTCCGCGTCGCGCATCACCGCTCCGGCCTCCTAACTCGTCCTCTCAAATCATTCCTCTTCCCACTTGCTTGGGCACAGCAACTCAAATACCCTCTGGAACAGCAAGCATTGGGCCGCTGTGGGCACAGCAACTCAAATACCCTCTGGAACATCTCGATGTGACAACGAGAAAGGTCATGAGTCACGATAGGAAGGGAAGGACAATGATCGAATCAACGTGCCCGCATCTCCCCCTCTCACACCGACCCAAGGCACAGATCCTCAAGTTCAACAGAATACCACATGCCGGCAGATTGTAGCTCGCAACGCAAAGCACATTGGGATCAATTACGACGCATCAAACACGCAAACACACAAACCCAACGCAATGAACCGAGTACATGCAACATAATCCGAATCACCTAAAACAGGCAACGCGGCATGGTCGTAACGCTGACGTGACGACTCAAGGAACCCCGTCTTACGTAAACCCCGAAACCAGAATTCATCCATTGCATCGCCTCCAGCACCGAGGCCCCAGGATCCAAGGAGGTTGTGGATCTTTGACCCCCTCCGGCAGACCCGAGTATGTCCATGTATGTTCTGCCTTTCGTTCTTTCTCTTCCTCTCTCTCTATGATCTCTCTGTATTTCTCTATATATATATATATATCTCTCTCTCTCTGATGTTTCTCTCTCTCTCTCTCTCCCTCTGACTCTATGTCTCTATATTTATATACATCACTATAATTATGTGTATCTCTCTGTCTCTCTATCTCAATATGTCTCTCACTCTCTCTCCTCTCTCCTTTCCTCCGTCCATCTCTCTCTCTCTCTCGCTCTGTGTGTTCATTTCTCTCTCTATCTCTTTCTCTCTCTCTCTCTCTATCTATCTCTCTGTTTTTATGTGTATATATGTATAAATGTATAGACACGCATCCCGCGCGTCCCCCAGGGTTCCTGAATTGTGCAGTATTTCTCGCATCACATTGAAACCTTGCCGCCCACTGGCGCTGCTTAGTGCGCAACTGTCGTCAACACAGGCGGTGGATGTGGACGCACTCTGGCCTCGGACTCCCCCCTCCTCCGACGTCGCACTGGGGAACTGGGACACACACAAATAAATAGACACAAATGAAAAGATTCCCCATATTTTCTGTTATGTTCTGGGTTTCTGTCTTCCCCCCCACTTTCCATATTTTCCCATATTTTCTGGGGGATCGACGATTAATTGTGTCTGTGTGGTTTTTGTTCCTCCTGACTTTTGTCCGTCGCGCGGGCCCCGAGATGCCCCGAGGAATCTCGACCCATCCCCGGGGCCAGCTCTCATCATGAATCCTATTTCAATGGGCCCAAGGCCGGGTCGCCTAGTGACAACCGCTGGCCCCAAACAAGAAACGCGGATCCGCCGGCCCCCTTGTGGGGCCACCAGGCTGTAGGCCCGTGATTCGCAGTTTCCTGTACCAGTCGTAGTTTGTAGTTTCCAGTGTTACAATTCTGCTTCTTGCTGGTTACTGTAACTAGTTGATTGACCGCGCGAGGGGGGGGGAGGCCCATACGGGATTTTTAGCGTCTCCTGGGCGCGTTGTCTGAATTGCTGGGGGGGCTCGAAATCGACACCCCTCACGCAGATCCGCGGGGTCCGGGTCCAAAAACACATGGGATTTGCTACATTTCTGAAATTCGGTGCCACCCCTCACGCAAATCCGCGGGGTCAGGGTCCAAATACAAATGGGTTTTGCCACATTTCTGAAATTCAGTGCCACCCCTCACGCAGATCCGCGGGGTCGGGGTCCAAAAACACATGGGATTTGCTACATTTCTGAAATTCGGTGCCACCCCTCATGCAGATCCGCGGGGTCCGGGTCCAAAAACACATGGGATTTGCCACATTTCTGAAATTCGGTGCCACCCCTCACGCAGATCCGCGGGGTCAGGGTCCAAAAACACAGGGGATTTGCTACATTTCTGAAATTCGGTGCCACCCCTCACGCAGATCCGCGGGGTCAGGGTCCAAAAACACAGGGGATTTGCCACATTTCTGAAATTCGGTGCCACCCCTTACGCAGATCCGCGGGGTCAGGGTCCAAAAACACAGGGGATTTGGCACATTTCTGAAATTCGGTGCCACCCTTCACGCACATCCATCGCAAGGCGTGGTAACCCAAACTGCGAGAACTCCCTCGGCCCTTTAATCGCAAGGTGTGGTAACCAAGCCCGTAAACCATACACGTCTTACCAATCGCCAGGTGTGGTAACCCCTCTTGTGATCAGTTGGTTTTGCTGATTGCGAATCGGCTTCGCATGAAGTTTCGATACTGCTTCACGACAGCGCCAAGGCCTCATGACTTAGCTCTTCCATGGCCCATTCTCCGAGAGAGGGGGCCGGCGGCAGGGGGCGAAGCCCTTACGGATAAAATACGGCCTTCGCGATGAATTGCGACGCCGGGATGCGATGGGAGTGCGAGGAACCATTTGGCCGAGGGGCGTGTCCCCACACGGAAATGATTTCGCAAATGGAAAATAGTGAATTGGGTTTGCTCCACTAGTCCGCCAGTCATACGCAAGCGCCAATGAGCCGACAGGGGCAACGGCACAGTGGAGAATAGAACATTCACACAAATCATTCGCACCCACCGCCCCGAAACACGACCCGCCAAACGCACGAGCTAAACGCGCAGGGCAAGCTTAGGGAGCGAAGGCGATGGAACCTACTCCTAACCTGGCTGCGCTCCGCTGTGTAATACCCCCGTCGGCAAAGCGCGTTAACAAACGACCGCCTCCAGTGACATGCAGTGCAAACCGCAGATATGTTTTCTAACGCCAGCGGGGGTCGATGTGGCGCGAAAAGCAGGGCGGAACACGGGATCTGAACAGGTGCGCGGGCGATCGCTTCGCTCGTGCAATCGGAGTCGCACGGATGCAAGAGCACAGTTGAACTCCGCGGCAGCGTGATCATGGCGCGCCTGCCTTCAGGACACCTCGGCAAGGGGCGCGCGCCCCCCAAACATTTGCAACGCGAGCCGTCCGAATCAGTCCTCTTCCTACTGCAACGGTCAAAGCACGCTGGCGCCGGAACTTCCTTAATCGAAACCGACGGGTAGAAACCTAATGCAGAACAACAAAGTGTGATCAGCCCATGAACGCACGTGGGTGAGCAGCCTCGGAAAACGGCAATGCGTTGACGGCATCACGCGCAGGACTGGATAGAGTCATGTCCTTGCTTGTAGAGAATCACCAACATAACGTCAGGGTATAAAGAGAGCGAGACAACCAAACACTTTCCGATGGCGAGTTTTCAATCTATAGGTCAACCAATGGAACGTTCAAAAATTTGGCTGCTCACAGTGAATTTCAGTTCCTAGATGAGCTGTCTTTGCTGCAGGGAAACGCATATGATCAAATATGTAAACTGCGCTCGTGCAACACGATTATAGGTGTGATTTGGATTCGACGCCACTAGATCACAGCATTGTGATCGAAGTGTCCACTCTGCTTCAGTAGCTGGGAGCCTCGATGCGGTTTTCTTGCCGTCGCAAACGGCATTCCCGATTTCAATTGCACCTGGCTTCACGATCTCCTGCGAGATAGCGGACGCGGCACCCACCCAAGCGGCAGTGCCAATTAGTGGGGGGTGTTGAAAGTCTTGGAGAAGCTCTGCCAGGTAATTTTAGAGAACGTATTGTGACCGCATATTATCTGGATTCTGTGCGGTCCCATCATGTAGGGTGTAATTGTTGAGCATGAAGGTGGAGCGCGCAGAATTCCCCATGGCCAGGGTGAGTTCGTTCCGCATGTGTTGGTGCATGACTCCGCTGGAGTGATTGAAGATGTTCATCCGCTTGTAGTTGCTGGCCTGCGCTGCGTTGACGTCGTGGCGATCGTCGTACTCGTTGTTAGTCACGGTGGTTAGAACTTCAGAATAAATGCGATTCCAAGCCGCCGCAACGAGATGTCCCACGGGGTCGCCAAGGATGTCCTCAGCGCAGGTGTTGAACAAATGGACCTCGCCTTGTGGTGGATGGTCAACGTCGTCAAGAAATATCGGGTTTCCAATACATGGTTCGGGAAAAATAAGCATCGGCAGCTGTGTTGGGCTGGTCGTCGCGGCCGATGGCACAGGTATCACGACGGCGCCCACGTCTGCAGAAATCGCGTTGGCCCGCTCTTCGGACATCGACTTTTTGCTTGCGGCAGTCGCTGGTTGCGGCGCGTCGTTACGCGCGGCAGAGTCGGCGTCCGCTTCGCCCATGCCGATAAGCACGCCCTAAGCTCGAAGGTATATTTGTCGGGGGGTGGCGGATCAGAGAAGAAGAGTGAATGCCTCTGTTGCGCCTGGAAAAATCCAACCACTGACCCCAGATTGCAAGTTTGTGGCGATATTGGCGCCGATTCTGGCATCGCCGGAACTCGCGCTCCAAATGCCCACCCAACGGTCTCCGTCTTTCACCGCGCCCCGAACGCAAACAGTCACCTAACGATGGGCTCCGTGAAACTTGCTGACGGGCCGGCGATACGCGCCATCGCAAACATCTGCCGCTTCACTCCTGGACGCACGCACAGGCGGCATCGGGTGCCATGTGCAGATCCCCG